CTGCAGATTCGGGACACCATTCCTGCAATAATTTGGCCGAACGGCAGCACGTCCGTATTCGCACCAAAATTACCAAAATCGCTTAGTAGAGTAATATGGCTGTTCTATGTTGTACATTGAAGCAGAGCCGCTGTGAAAAAGATGCATCCCGGGCATCGTCACTGTCACCTTGTGTAGGTTTTGCGCATCAGTCGCCTTTCTTGTGCTAAATCATCAACATCCCGAACCTACGTTTATATTTTACGCTTCAAAATAGATGTGCCAGACAAAAAACTTCGTCTCATAGCCTCGCCATGCCTGCCTTTTGCTTTGCGCACGGTTTGAGCACCGACGGCCGAGACGATGTAAGTAGGCTTTGCAACTTTGCTTCAAAGAAAACCAAAACAGATAAATGAGCTGATTTCTACTGTGAAAGGAAGTTGAATTTGAGCTTTCTTGGACCAGTGTTTTCTGCTCAAAGCATTGTTGCGACAGGCACTACCATCAGGGTTTATCGCCATTCCATTTAATGGGAATGCGGTGAAGTCTTCATCATGTATGTCGTGTTGTGCCATCCATCTTTGTCCACGAGTAATGGTGGGCAGGCTCCGAGGGCGGCATTCTCGACGAGACGAACACAGCAGGTGTGATTTCGTATTCATATCGTACTCCACACAGCAATCCATACTTCTGTTAGATGTCGTTTTGCGATTTATTACGTACCGCTAACGACTTGCAGAGTAGATGTAGCGCCAGCTGAATGAAAATGCAGGTAAAGCTCCGAGCAGCAGATGCCTTCTTCCTCCTCTTTACTACAAGTATTTAAATAATTTACAGCTCTGCGGAGGCTTATTTACAGAATTTAGGTTATCTTCAACTTCAGTACTGTAGAATCGCATAAATGTCGTTCAGTATCTGATATTATTCTGTCATACTTCCAAAATCAAACTGCATAATTAAGGGTATAGCAGGTTTGACTTGTCATAACAACATTGATGTTGATAACAAAAAGATGAAGCTGAGATCAATGCTAGAAAAACGGGACACTAGACGATTATGCAAAAGTATAAGCTGTTTCGCTATCTCACTTTAAACACATCTCAAAAGTATTCGTTTGAATACATGCCCTAAGTACTCCTTTTATTCTGCATGTGTCAGTAACCCATCTATTCATATATACTGTTGCAGGTTATTGGAGAGCTGCTTGCTGTAGACAACAGCATTGAGCAAACATCAAGACCCAGTGATTCTGGTGAAAGAGATTACGTAAGTGGGCTTTCACTTCTCTTGGAAATAAAGTTTAGCATCATCAGTAGTAACAACAGAAGCCGGTTTATTTCAGGATGACATTGCTGCAGAGCCAGTGTACAAGCTGGACAGAGTCTGGCTTATGAGTCTGGACAAGCAGTAGAGACACCACCACAGCTAGTCTGTGAGCAGCATCAAGTCATAGATAAGTCTGTTCAAGTCGGACTGCTAACACACCACGAAGCATCACAAGCAAATGAAGAGAAAATTCTGTCAACAAGTGGCACACAAACAGAGCCCCAAGCTGTGTCTTCAGGTATTTCTCTGCATTTGCCGTAACATAAAGTCAGTGTTTGCTGCAAGAGCAAAGGAGTGAATGCTACAGTAACAAATAGGAATACTATTTTAGGATAACAGCTGACACTTTTGAGATTCGTTTTGGCCTCATTCTACTAAACCCCAACGTTAAGGTTGTTTTGCAGGGAAAGCTGTTATGAGATTACCACCAGAGCCAGTTGGGCACCGCGGTAGTTTGTGGAGATGGTTTGCACTAGGCTTACCTACTAAGCGCAATCGTGTAGGGATGCAACGACCTCCGCTGCGTGCGACGATGCTGCAGCTGGGTTCGTCGTTTTCACTGATACGGCGCAGAAACCATGCTTGAGGCAGGATAACAACAACAACGGGTTTATTAACCCAAGATGCAGCACAGTGCGACACTCACAAGCTTGCAGGCCGTGTAGGGAACTTTGCAAGAACGAGCAAGTACGCTTGCCTACAGCGCGACGACTCCTGCACAAGGGCCAAAGTCGAACGCACGAACGAGAAGCTGCCTGCTGAGCAGCACGTCAACCCCTCGTGAAGGCCTGAGAGCATCTGCCGCAACGAGCGAATCCTCGGGCACAACATAGCTTGTAGGAAAGGAGGATGTCACGCGTGGCTCACGGGAAATCGGCGCTGCATTGTGACGTAAACCTGTGCAGCGTGCCAGCGTAGCGTGCTCAGACAGGCGAGCGCGAGACGGGGCCGAAGCTTGACTCACCCAGACCAAGAGGCGCCCTGGCAGTCATCTTGGTGAATTCCGGCGCTTATGCGCGCCTGGGCAATGCGGTCAGCGCGCGCGTGGCTGGGGCGATGCTGCACCCATTTAGCTAGGATACGTGCTCTATGCGATCCCGGAAAAAAGGTGCTTAACCATGAATGGGTTTGAGGCAGGTCTGAGTACTGCGGGCAGTCTCAGAGGAAGTGTGTGAGGTCTCCCTGAATGTTGCAGGGGCTGTAAACGTCAGTCTGACATTTCTAGGCCACCAGAGTGTGGGGCTTAAATCAGACATGCTCAGGGGTGCCTGGTTGTCCCTTCTCTATTTGTAAAGAGGGGCTCAGGCTGTCTCTGCAGGTTAACTTTAACTCTGCGGCAGCCATTTCACAAGCCTTATGTACAACTCGGGGGGAGTGAGCAAGCACGCTATATAGGTCACCCGGCTACATGGGCAGGATGGGCAGGTAGTGTTGTTGACTGTAAAGTAGACTGTAGGGCCCGATGAGGCTCTTCGTTATGGCAAAGACCCTGCAAGCATTCCGGTGTGTACATGCTTCCCGTGAATGTTGGCACTTGAATGAAAGAGTGCAATCTAAGGGGTTAGGTACTGCGAATGAACAGCTCTGCTGCTAATGTTCTGCTTGAGCTATTACATCTATGACATCTATGGCACCTGTTGCGATGTATTGTCCTGAGGAGCCGATTCCTTTCAAGAAGGCGAGTGAGCTGTTATACTATATGTGTTCAGCTGGTTTTGATTGGTGGTTAGCATGGATTGCGCTAATCATAATTTTTCAGGAACTTAGTCAGTGTGCAAATTTGGGAACAGATTAATGGGTCAACACCTTCTTGCGAAGCGTAGGGTAGGCTAAGATTCCTTTTGGGCTGATGCAGGACATCTGGTGGTGCATGACATGGTGTGCTGTAGGAAGGCATAAGCAGAGCAGAAGTCTAAAAAAAAAGTAGCAGAATTTGCCTTTCTGAGACAAACGTTGCTAGAAATGCAATCTGTGTCGGGGATAATGCTTAAACGCAGCCTTTCAGGGTCACCGAAATGGAGGACGCCTTAGGTAGAACAACCACAAGTGGTGCACCAGGCGCTGGCACAATTACGGTAGGGTCAGGTTGCATCATCGGTTGCGAAGACTGTCCTGAGGAAGTATGGCAAGCCCTCCTCCTAAGTAGCCTATTCGGCTGCTTATTTTTTACGTGTAGTAAGCAGAACTCTACACAGAAGCCAAAGTGCACCTGGGGAACTTTGATGATCAAATTTGACCTACACCACTTGTTCTGTGAAGGCCCATGATAGGTTAACATCCCAACCACAAAATGGCGCAGATTCATTTATTATTCAACTGTTTTAAACTGTCTCCCCTTCAAGCTTTATAGCATAGAACTTCTTGTATAATAGACAGAGACATGACAGGCAAATATTTACTTTCAAATAACTTTTAATATTAGAGCTTGGAAATATCAATGCAGTGAAAGAAGAAAAAGGGCATTGAATTACCTGATGAAAGCAACACGCGTGCATTACATGGCACTTTCACCAGCAACTATCAAAAAACCGTATTTTACTTGGGATAAAACAAAAGTTAAAAGTTACTTGGAAGCAAGTGCTTGTGCCTGCCATGTCTTTTTGTCTTTCGTGCAAAAAGTTTCGTGCTATCAAGCTTGTAGCTAAGGATTACCAATTAGCCCGAACCAATGCCTTGCTCAGTTCCCTTCAATGGCAACTGTTTTTACTTACGAGCTACAAAAGGCGCTTGCACCATCTACTTCATTCACAGTAAGCGCTCCTCCTACAGCCAACGAAAAAGAGGAGAGGAACTTTCATCTGCGATATCTTGCTACAGTTTTATAAAAAGTTCAGAGAGATTCTGAATATAGAATCAATCATTCCTAACTTCCTGGTTTTCCAAATCGCTTTACTGTTACTTCAAAATATCCGCTCCATTTTATATATCCGTAGTTCCTATTCATCAATTCTTAGTATTTATTTTCTTTCTTTCATCACTGTCAGCATTTCAACCGACATAATCTAAGAAAATTTACGACTTTATTTTAGAACTATCCTGGTTCTTGGCGCATCCCTCCCGCATGTGTCTGTTATAGATACAGGGCTCTACTTTATTCTACTCTAATCTGGACTGGATGCTTACCTTCCTCCTCTGCATTTACCTAATCACCGCATGCCAAATGTCAAAGAGTCCTCTTTGAGTTCAGGAAGCGCAGAACATGATTCCTGGGGCCTGTGGCAGCCTTGTATGAGTTTTGATGACGGACAGTCATCTCGTGCTGGCCCTCATTAGTGTATAAGTTCGTGTAGTAGTAGTTTAGCATAGCAAACACACATGTTTCTGCAGTCTGAGAGAGCACGGCTCTGAGGAGTCGCTGGTGAAAAAAAAAACAATAAAATGGGAGGGACAGAAGTTACGAAAAAGAAGAATCAACCCTATCAAGATAAAAGTATACCCATGACACAAAGCTTATAGCACCTTCTCTGCACATTAGTAAAACTGTGGCACTGGAAATAGAACCCAGAACCTCCCAGAAGCTTGGCACATTATTTTACTTCCTCTTCAACTAGTCCTGTTTCCTCGCACAAGTTCGTGCCATTCTCTCTTGCGTGCGCCTGAAGTAAGCATCTCATCTTTCAAAGATGAGATGCTTACGCAAATTTGAGATGCTTACGCAAATTTCGACTCTTTACAGTATTGCCAGAGTCATTCAATACTTTTACTGGTCAGGAAGCTGCACCATAACTCTTTATGGGAGAGCTTTGTGCGGTGCAAGCGGAGGCCGGGGTGCATCTTTGCATCTTCGCCGGGGGCATCAGGGAGACGGTGGCCGCATGCCACCCCGGGATTTGATCGTAAGTTAGGTGTTGTGCGTGTTTGTATGTTTGCATTCCCTTACCCATGCATACCTCATTAGAAGCAAGTAGCTAGTTGCGGGCGGGCCTACACCATTTCCACCTCCATCGGATATGCAGCTTCCTCAGCCACTGTACCACCGCGGCGGGGCATGTGTCAAAACTTCTGTTTTGGTTTCGTCATATAAAAACGTATTTTTAAAATAGGCTATTCACTTTTTCATCATTGGTCTATTGAAATAGGAGAGAAAATAGCGGATATCATTACGACATTTAAATTTGAATTGTTAGCGTGAAGACGACCTTGGCTTGCAAAGCGCTCGTTCAGACTAGCTATTTAGTAATCCATATACTTTTGTTCTGACATGTCAGTCTGTGCTTATAGAAACAGTTTTGCAGATAAGCTGGCACAATGCATGATAGTAGCACTTCTATTTGACATTTGAAAATGTAAAAAATAATGCTTGACTGTTTAACAGGCTGGAGCATTATCTGGTGAACTGGTGACATTGCATAGCCTGGTATAATCTCACTTTTTTGAAGCAGTACAGAGGCATTTGTGGGAAATCTGTAAAGTCTGACATCAATATAACGAAGCAGTTTTCTGTCTAATGTACTCTAAATGTCCTTATATCTCTGAACTCCTAACAGTGAAAAATCGTGATATCATTGTAACTTTTACAAATGATTTTTTTTTCTTCCTTGATTCATAGTTTTTTAGTTAGCTTTATGAAACTTGCATTCATCATTTACAATTTCACAAACGTCATGTGTTATAATTTGTAATAATCCTTTCTCTGTGCACTTTGTGGATATGTCTATGCAAGGTGGAACGAATTGCCTCATGATGTCCGCATGTATATAGCATAGAACTCGTGTGCTGCAAGAAGAGATTAGGTGAAGTTTGCCGAGTTGCTGCTGTGTGGCGATAACAAAGTTTGGTTTTGGCTTGACCTGAAGATCATTTGCTTCATTTACATGCTGGTCAACCAGTGTTGTACACGTTCCTCCAGAACAAAGACGTAACTTCGTTCCTCCTTCCTTTTCAATCTTGGAACGAGTTTCCGTTCCAAGTTCCCTCAATGTGAGAGGAACCTATTCCAGTTACATTTTGAAACTTTGAATGCGTCATTACATTTGAATGCTTGATCAAAATATTGCTCTAGATAGATTTGAGGTGAAAGCAAGTAATAAATTTGAAGCTCACTTTACCCTACTCATGTTGAATGAATTTAACATTGGCGGCAGCTGGTTATATGTAAATCGAAAGAGTGTAAAGAAACGATTCCAAAGGAACGCTTCTACACAAACTTTTTCATTCATTCCAGCCATACTACAGACACGTGAAACTGGAACTTTTGAGCTCGTATATCACAAGTGCCACACATAGGACTTTTTCCGCGTCTGTTTTTGAAATGCGTAGTCAGAATGCTATGCTTCAGGTATTAGAGCGCAATAACGTTAAGAAAATGTTTCACATAAATTAATGTGTCTGCATTGCTTGTGGTGAGACAAAAATCAGTGCTGTCTGTGAATGAAAAAGTCGAGATAGCTATTAATGATACCAAATGGTTGAAGTGCAAATCGACTTCGGGCCTTCCATGCAACAAGCATATTTTATACCAGAGTCAAGTCATTGCTTCAAGCTGCTTTAGAAAGAAAAGTGTCCTTAATTAGACGACCTATCTTAAGGCATATAGTGTTGCATGGCAGAAGCCTAGAATTGCGATAGACCTCAGCACATAAGAAACACGCAATGAAGGAATGTTTTAAAAGCCCACCCATTACAAAGCGCTCAAGCATATTAAAGTCCCTATCAGCATCAAAAGCATCAACCAAGTCAACAGCTGTGTAGGTTCACGTTTGTCTTACATACGCGTGATGGACTCCTCCCTGATTAGCCAAAGGAAGAAATTGGGCATAGCGGGCACTTTGCAACTGTACTTCAGTAGGCATTCCATAGTAGCTTCAAATGGACAACGTGACATGTGGAAACATTTGTTTGCTTGTACAGTTTTGGCATTCACCGAGAACCAAAGTCAAGTTTACTGATTCGGCGATGCGCACGGGTCCCGATTACGCTACGGGGTTCTACTTTTAAAGGCGTAGCTCAAGCATGCTTAGAGTTTTCTACATATGGAAATTGCCACACACGCACCAATATAAACACATTCACATGAAACTGCACCAAAAGGAACCATACATAGGTGCTTAACGAGTGCTGATTTAATATTGCAGTGTTAGTAGAAAATAATGTTTAGGATAGATATTCACAGTGTAGTCTCTCGTTCCCACTTAGCAAGTGTTGCCTCTCGATGTTGATAATCAACAGACAAGCCTGTTTTGTCGTCGGCACTTTATTGGCAATGTTGAAGAGCTGTTCCCTCAAGCAGAAGGGGGTACGCTGTCATACACAAAAAAGCAACAATGTCGACCGAGGTCAAATAAGTAACTACAGGCTCAGCAGGCGCAACAAGAATGTAGCTCTGAATGTACGCCTATTGCTTACTAAATGACAGTCGTTACTTACTAAATGACAGTCGTTACTGCTGCTATGGCTGTTGAATTGAACAATAATTAAAAAACTTCAACTGCTCGTACTTGAAGGGCCACTCTACAGGTTTGACAATTCTGAGCTGATACGCGCAATTTGTAGGTGGGGCATTCACGATCACATCTGCCAAAATTTGCACTGCTACATTCCACGGAAATTGGTCGAATTTCAAAATGAACGACGCTCCCCGATCCTTTCGCGGGTGCGTGCTAACAGTATGTGAGGGCATGATGTGCACGTATGAACTGCCTTACGTACACGAAAGTGCAGTGACGTTAATACTCTGAGTAGACTACTGTGCTCTGACGATGGTAACGATGGCACGTGGCTTGTCGAAAATTATTTAACACAACATGTGTAGTTTATACAATTTCTTGCTTAAAGAGGGGAATAAAACTTCAGATAAATAATGAGACGCAATAAGGGAATGCGCACGTCTTTTTTTTATTTTTTTCCCTTGAATTGCAGCGAGATGCATGGCTAATTTGCCGGCATTTAGCATGCGTTCGTGTTACCATGGTCAGCGCATTGAGCAGACAACAGCCGTTGAAGCGAAAGTAGCGCTCCTACACGTTTAGACACTCATTGTGCTCATCTATTCTACTGCGTCTTAGCCAGCATTTCCAAACCATCCCGCAGAAACAGGCAGTAGAGCATTAAATAACGCTGGTCAACAAAACGCCGCCGCTCGCGTGTTCTGGGTTGGGGCTTTTTCGGGCACGTCGTGCGCGTGTGACCTTTTGGTCGGATGCCGGAGGGGGTAGGGAAAAGATTTGGCCTGCCAAGGCTACTAGGGGGAGTGGCAAGGGTTTCGAGCTCACCTCCTTTCATCCTCGTTTCGTTTCGCTTAAAAAAAAACAGTTTTCTCAGCTCGTAATGACCCGATTGAAAAAACTTTTTGTGAAATAATGTTCCTCACTAGACACACAACTCTTCTATTGACTAAATAAAATTTGGTATAGGGCCTGGTGAGTGGTTCTTTAAAAGGAGATGCTGGTCTTGAAATTAAAATTTTTATTTAAAAAGATACTGTAAATAAATTAGGTGTGTATATGTATTTCTTCCTCCTCTTTTCAAAAATATAATTAGTTTTACTCTACACCAACTGGTTACCGAATTGTGAGAGCATAATTGAAGTCGAATTGTGTAATTCCTTAAGGGTTGTTAAAGTGCCCGTAAATCACCTCCAATGTTTTTTCAAGCATTTCAAGTAAATGCACGCATTGTGTGCAGAATGCCGCGATCAATGATTCCGCACATGGCAGCGCTACGAGTCGCCGGCGCGCCCAAAATTCTAACAAACAATCCATCCTCCTTTTTGGGCCTTTCGAGCCACTGCGTGATGCGCCGTGCCATATCTGGTGCACCGAGTCAAATATGCCAAATGTGCGGTCGAGCAAGAGGCTACGACTTCCGGTCAGTCTGCAAGCTGCTGTCCATGCTGCTTGTTTTTCATCGTGTTGCCTGCGTGCGGGGCACGTTGCGTCCCCGTATGGGTCCATTACGTTGACAATCCTTTGAAGGTATGCCCGCAATGCAGGTTTCATACCGGCACGATTACGGCAGGCACGATTCCCCAACAAGCACGCAACTGACAGAGTCGACTATCGGGGTCGCGGCTACCGGATGTAGACGGTGTTTCAAGGAGCGAGTCAGCGATGACGTACCCCACGTGAGATTAGGAGGGGTGCTCGGCGAGAAGGCAAAGCGGCGTGGAAAAGGATACCAGCGGAAGAAAGCGCTGGAGAGAGCGAAAGGTGTAGTCATCGCGGTTTCGATAGTCAAACACGTCTAACTTCACTATTACTGCACCATTTCAAGAAATTATCACGGCTTCGTGTTCGTCGTACACCCATGCGAAATGTTTGGCTTTAGGCCACACCTGTCTGCGCAAGATGTCCTCTTGCAACTAAAACGAGACATAATCCAACCCATTCCCTCTACGCACAACGACAGGGCAATCCTTGCACTCGACCTTAAAGGCGCATTCGACAACGTTAAGCATGAAAGCATCCTGAAGAACTTGAGTAGTATCCATTGCGGTAAAAAAATCTTTGCCTACATCAGAGACTTTCTCTCTGAGAGACTGGCGTTCATTCACATAGATAACGAGGAACATGGACCATTCAAAATGTGGCAGAACCCTGCAAGGAGCTGTCCTATCTGCGCTGCTATTCAACATTGCCATGATGAAGCTCCCGCAAGCATTGGCAGTAGCGGAAGGAATATATCATGCAATATACGCCGATGATATAATAATCTGGACGGATCGGGGCAGTTTAGGAGAAATTGAAGACCGCCTGCAGCAGGCCGCCTCCATTGTGGAGGACTATGTGGCTCAGTGTGGGTTGCAGTGCGCTCCAACCAAATATGAATTCCTGCATATCAGAGAAAACAAAGATAGGACAACCCTAAGCTTGATGGGATCAGGATGAACCATACGAGA